ATAAGAATCTTCCTCGGGATTGCCCCGACATCGGACCCCCAGTCCGGAGACATACTATTATCTAACATACTTCGGGCTTACCCCGACATCGGACCCTCGGTCCGGAACCTATCGTACCGACACATGCAAGAATCACAAAGACCTCTAGCATCCTAACATTCCTCGGGCCTCGCCCAGCATCAGGTCGTAACCTGCAACATATATCAATAAGTGCCTAGGGCTAACCCCCGGGTCTTCCTTCTATTCATAAACATAAACAGAAACATAAACATAAACATAATGGGCCGACATTGTGGCCATAGACCCATGCACACAGTGAGGAGACTCACCTTACACTGCTGCAGACTAGCTGAACACTTCTGACTGCTAACCGGTAACTTCTGAACTGCTGACCCTTCGGCTTCCCGAACTATCAATACCCAAAATAACATTTAGACCACATTAATCCAAAAGTCAACCATGGTCAAATTTGGTCAAAGTCAACCTCCAGTTGACTTGACTCGCCGAGTTGGTCTTCCAACTCGTCGAGTCCATACTCCTACTACCCGATACAACCCCCGACTCTACTCGTCGAGTCTAGCAAGAACTCGACGAGTCCTCCTTCAACCATACAATCGGGACCATCTTCAACCGACTCACCGAGTTCATCATTGAACTCGTCGAGTTCATCTTCCTCATATGAATGTGTCCAGACTGTGACTCGTCGAGTTGTATGAACAACTCGTCGAGTCCATCTTCATGGGTTGGGAGATTGCCTTGGACTCGCCGAGTTCCTCCTTGAACTCGTCGAGTACGATGAACTTCATGTCCACTATGGACCCAGACTGGCTGAGTCCCTTACCAACTCAACTCATACCCTTAACAGAAGGGGTTTGGGGCAAGAAAATGGTCTGACTCGCCGAGTCCCTTTATGTCCAACTCTATTCAGACAATTTCAGTCAAGCACAAGGCATCCAATACCCATATCTAGCCTCCTAGGGTCGGAATAACACGCAAAGCTAATACCTTTGCATACATGCATGGCCCTTTTTGCTCAGAAGGCCATAACAACCTCTTAAACTTTTCATGGGGAGTTCTAATGGCATAAAGCTTCCACCTTTATGCCTCAATTACTCTAAATACTCCCAGATCTGAAAGGATCTACTTTGGGGACGTCCAAATCCCACAAGAAATCATTCTTGGTCCACAAACTTCATAAAAAGGGGCTATAAAGAGATCAAACAAACTAGAAGTCAAGATGAAGACTTGATTACCAATAAATGCAACCACTGGAGTGTATCCTATGGATCTACTTCCTCCTTCTTGATCCTCCAACTTCCTTCTTCTCCTTCTCCCTCTTCAAGAGCACACAAATCACACAAAGGTGGCTCAACCACTCACAAGATGCACTAGGGTTTCGTGGGTGATGGTTTGGGGTCTGGTGGCTGAAGATGAGGCTGAGGGAATGAGAATATGATGCTTAAATAGGGCACCAAGTCAAGAAATTAGGGTTTCCCAACCCAGGTCAGACTCGCTGAGTCAGTCCCCCGACTCGCCGAGTCGGCCACTTAATCCGCGACATGGAACTCACTCCTACTCGTCGAGTTCCTCCCTGGATTCGATGAGTAGACCTCTTGACTTGGGGTTTTTCCTTTCCTTTCTTGGCCTTCTAAATTCGGGGTGTTACAGAGAGAGCGTAGACGATCAATAGGGCTTTCCTGCACTGTGCGCTGGTCTGATATGGCTTCCGAAGGGTAAGAATCGCTAGGGATCCCTCCACTGTCTTCATTCTCGTCTAACTCCCCATCAGTATTCTCTCCCTCATAGTTCATTTCTTGATATTCTTCAGGTCCCCCTTGAAGCTCTTCTAGTTCTTCATTAACCCATCCGTTGTCCACCAAGGACTGGTAGTAGAGGTCTTTATGATGGAACTCAACCATGGTGTTTGCGCGAGAATGAAGGTGGGAGAAGCGGGTAGAAAGCGTACGTGCGAAAGTTATATAATATCCTAAAATACTCCTATAGTATTTTATTTGATGTTCGATTCTAATGTTATCTTGGATGTATAGTTGGTAATTTTTAGGCTTGTTGCAATACCACTATCACTCCCAAGCACATGTTGGTCATATCTCAAATAAATATAGTTGATCAGGCTATATTTATCCCATATATGATTACATAACTGCCTAGGTTTGACTGTAGTGTTCAACGTCTAAATACTTTTGTTTTCTTCTCATTATGATACTGTTCTAGTAGGTATGTATACTTTTATAAAATACTTATATTTTTAAAGTATACTTTCAGTCAGAGTGTTTTAGTCTCATTGTATTTATAGTTGTATATCTTGTATGGTTAGATATACTAGTTCACTATAAACAAGGCTCTGATACCAATCTGTCACACCCCCCAAACCAGAACGGCGGAAACGTCTGGGGGCGGATGGAGTGACTTCATCTACAGTATCATAACAATTGAACAGTAATGAAACATCGCAACACAAACCTTCATACATTTAGATTTAGAGTATTACATTGTTTACAAACACAATTGTTCGAAAGTTGATTACAAATAACTGAAAGGCAAGAAAAACATAACATGGCGATGTCGGCCCCCAAGAAGGGTTGAGTACCTGCCTGCTAGATCCTTGAGAATACAAGTCGTTTTGAAAAGCGTCAACTAAAGAGTTGGTGAGTTCATAAGCATATTTGTAGGTAAAACATTGTGATATCTTTGTTCATAATATGTTTCAAAACTCTAGAAAATCCGATATTTTCTATAAAAAGTAGTTTGTTAGTCTCGTTATAAAAATCCGTGTATAGTTGCATGCATGTTCTTTGTTTTCCTTTTTTTGTATCAGAAAGAGGGTGTTCCCATAAAAGCCTATATTTTTCTGTATAAAAAGAGGGTTGTGGTCTTAAAATCCTAAGACCGGAGTTGTGAAATTAGTTTACATAATATACGAAGCATAGTTTTGTATTTTATAAAATTGATGGGGTGTATATCCCTCACTTGTAAAGTACAAATATATAGTTCCAGAAAAATCCAGTATTTTCTTAAATGTGAACTGTGGTCTTATACCCCAAGAGCGAGATGGAAGAAAGTATAATACATGAAAATAGTTTATAGCCTCATTTCTTTTAATAGAGCTAATGAAGTATAAGCTTTTCGTAAACCAGGTCTTAAAATCCCAATACCAAGATGGAGGTGAATATCATACAGGAAATAGTTTATAGTTTCATTTCTTTCAATAAAACTAATGAAGTATAAGCTTCTCGTAAATCAAAAACCTTTTTGTTTATCTCTATGTGATTCGTTATAACCATACTAATATGACGGAGTGTCTGGCTTGTCGTTTTATTGACGTCAGTTTCGTTGAAGATATTTGTCACCCTAGACTGACCTAGTCTACCTGTAGCGAACAACGCAGGTGTGGGGTGTCAACACCGTATAGATCTATACACAAACTCACGCTCTCCTTCTAGGAGACTCTGATTATAATTAACAGGACTTACCACGTACGCTAGGTAGGTACGACTAAATGCGTCTCACAAGAGCCTCAACAGATTTACGTGAACTATGACTCATTTTCTTGTAAAAACAGGATAGTTATGCCTTTAAATGATTAAAAAGTGTCTTTGAAAACGTAGTTCGTGACTTCCAAACTATACCGATTATAGTTTATCTTGTTGGTTTGAAATTATTTATATACCCTTTTATATAAATGTGAAGGTGTATTCCGGCATGAAAAATATGAAATCAAAACATATTACTTAGGTATTAAACCCACTAGATTTGTAAATGATTATACTGTATCAAAGTTTACTAGTAAAACCATCTTTTAATAAAAGTTCCCAAAAGCCATGTAGTTTACAGATCTTAACTTTTTCTTAACATTGATCATGTTAGTTTTGTTGATAGATATATACATTTCACCATATTTATATCAAAACTAGAGAATACCATAACTTGTACAAATAATAATTTATCCTCAACATAAAGATGAAAAACTTGTAGTTATTTGTGGAATAAACATAGTTTGACTTGTATTCCCCCCCCCCCCCCCCCCTAAAACAAAGAAAAGCTTGAAAATATGGGGGTATGAAGCTCACCTTGGTTTGGTTTGGTGGATGATTTGAAGAGATGTTGAGAGGCTTTCAAGCCTAATCACTTGAAGAGTTTGATAAACTCTTAGAAACTTAGTATATCCTAGGAATATCAACACATAATATCATGTGTAAATGGAAGGAAATTTACAAGATAATGTGTAGAATTTACTAGACAAACTTGAGATACTTAATAGGATCTAGGGAATGCTTTGAAGAAGTAGGACTTGAAGCTTGAATACGTTTGAGAGCAACTTTAGAAGTTCACAGAAAGTAAATATGATTAATGAGAAGTAGTTTTCGTTCATAAAGGGAGGATGGGGGTGATAAGGTGTGCTTGGTAATCTGGTGGACAAGACATGGGTAACTGGGATTACCTTGGAAATAGGAGTGAAATCACATCTTAAGGTCAACTATTCTTGTCTTATTTACATCCTTAATCCGTAAACACCATAGAATGGTGGTGTTTACTAGGGGTGTCGAACGGGTAAAATTTTCGGGTTTCGGGTAGAACGGGTCGGGTAGAACGAGTATTTCCTTAAGAAAATAATACTCGATACCCGACCTATATTGTAATTCGGGTTTTCGGGTTTCGGGTATTCGGGTTTGAGGTGGGGTAATTATCGGGTATACCCGAAAATTTCTTAAATGACACTTATTGATAATTTATTTATTTATTTATTTTTACATTTTGGTTATTTAATAAAGAATCGGGTAATAAAATACTCCATACAATTAACAAGTACATATATAATAACAATACAAATCATTATAATATGTTATGTACTTTTTTAATTCCATTCCGTGCGATAGTGAGAAACTGAGAATTGTGATGACGGTTCAGGACTTCAGCTTCAGGGTCGTATTCCCTTTGCAAGTTTGCGTCGACTATCGAGCCGTCGTTCATAAGAAGGAAACGGAGGGTTTTGTTTTATTTGAAGTGTGCATACGTGACTGCATTGTATATTTGGTATTATTTAAAAAACGAATCCGGGTATTCGGGTATACCCGAAAATAAATATTCATACCTAAAATCCGGCCTATATTATTATCGGGTTAACCTATTACCCGAATGTTCATACCTGTTACCCGTTCTACCCGAATTCGGAACGGGTCGGGTGGGTAGAACAGGTTTCGGGTTTTTTCGACAGACCTAGTTTTTACGCCTTACCTTTTCCCTAGAAGAGAGTTTACGCCCAAGGTGTGGTCCACCATGGATTTACGCCCAAGCATAGGCCACTCGGAGGTGTTTAGGCCCAAAGATTGCTTTCTAACGTAGTTTACGCCCCAACATGCCCTCTTTAGAGGTGTTCACGGCCAAGTAAGGTCCACTAAGGGATGTTTACGGCCATCTATGATAATTTAGATATTTATAAAGATATTTAAAAAAGTATGCCCTTTGTTTTCACCATGAAATCAAAATTTGAAATCAAAGTTCATGGTCGTTCAAATGTTAAATTTACAAAATACATGATGCTGCATAATGACGATATTTCAAGCAAATCAAAATTCGTAAACTTTGCACTCCTCATCCGCCGGATTCGTCTTGCAAAAATCCTCCAACGGATCTCCGCTTCCGGTTGTCTCTTCCCCCGGCCATTTGCTCGCCACTAAATGTGCCAAATCCACCACACGTTGACTACATCAACAAAAACACAACGCACATACATTAGCTTCTTCTTCTTCATCTTTTAAGAACCAGAAAACCCTAATTTGAAGATAAATAAACAATTTTGAACGATTTGTCATACCTGTATCCCCATTCATTATCGTACCAAGCGACAACCTTAACCATATCATCGCCCATAACCATCGTCAACGACGAGTCAATAGTCGAGGAAACATCAGAGCACCTAAAGTCAACCGACACGAGCGGCTCGTCGCAAACAGCCAAGATTCCGTTCAAAGGCCCATCAGCCGCCTTCCGGAAAGCCCCATTGACGTCCTCCGCCGTGAGCCCCTTTTTAGCGACGTTGATGACAAGGTCAACCACTGAAACATTAGGCGTCGGAACACGAAGCGCGATTCCGTTGAGCTTGCCCTTCAGCTGCGGAAGAACCAACGACACCGCCTTGGCTGCACCTGTGCTGGTTGGGACGATGTTCAAGGCCGCAGCTCTAGCTCTCCTTAAGTCCCTGTGTGAAGCATCCAGTAGCCTCTGCAAATGTACAACTCTCAAGGCAATTAGTACACCTAACACCTTCCTTATTAATAAGGGTATTTTAGTCTTTAGACATTAATCATCTACCTGGTCACCGGTGTACGAGTGTGTTGTTGTCATTGTTCCCTTCACGATACCTGTGAATAAAAATAAAATTAAAATTGACAAATTTTATGTAGATGCATAACGGTTTGTACTGTACAAGTCAATGAAGCATATACGTACCGAATTCTTCGTCCAATACCTTCACGAAAGGAGCCAAGCAGTTGGTTGTGCAAGAAGCGTTACTATAATGACATGATCAAATTTCTAAAATTAGATTGTCAGTGATACAGTTTACCTTTTCCTAATAAAAAAACGAAAAACAAACCTGACAATGTTGGCAACATCATGGCCATAGTCCTGCTCGTTAACACCAATGACATATGTTGGAATATCAGCACCTTTTGCGGGTGCGGTGATGATCACCTTTTTAGCACCAGCTTGGATGTGCTTACCTGCACCCGGTCCGTCCACAAATACTCCAGTGCCCTGGACGTCAGATAAAATTCACCCGTTTATTTAAAAAAATAGTGTGTTTATGATATATTTTAGGACAAAATACATTAAAGGCACTATATTTTGGCTATTTTTATTGTTAAACGTTATCTTTCAGTCTCTTTCATTCAAATTTAATAATTTTTTCTAAAACATTTTCGATTATTGATCATTTTAGATAGAAAAAGTTGTAAAACTTGATTGACTTTCATTGACAAGATATAATTACAATAATTAAACAATAAAAATGGCTTAAATATTCTGATTTTAGTGTAATTTGCTATACATTTCATAGATAATAGGTTAAAGATTTATGTTAGACATACCTCAATAACAATGTCGATGCCCATTTCGGCCCATGGAAGCTTGAGTGGGTCTCGGCTAGAAACAACCTTAATTTGCTTTCCATCGACACTAATTGTCTCGTTATCGACTACTTTAACATCGGCTTTGAAGGTGCCCAACATTGAGTCATATTTCAGCAAATGAGAAGCCTGCACGTGTCACAAATCACAAATGTTGAAAAGCTTGTAATCAAGCAATGGGAACTTGTAACCTTTTCTTTGAATGTGGTAATGTTGACTTACGTTCCTGACACCACCACTGTCGTTGACAACTACGACTTCGAGTGGGGAGTCTTTCCGGCCGTGCCAGCACCGGAGAAAGTTCCGGCCGATACGTCCGAATCCGTTGATTGCTACCTTCAGTTTCGCAACTGTCTCGACCTTAGCAATTGCTGATCCTGCAGCCTGATTCATAATGTTTTTTCGATTCAAATCATCAAACAAATACAAATCAAGAGTATTTTCCTCATATAATTTGATCTAAATAAACTCAATTGCACAGTTGCTTTGATTATTTGAATCAAAAGCTCATCGTATACATTAATCCATATACATAAGGGAAGAGAAAGAAACCTTCGGGGTAAATTGGGCAGACACGACGTCGAAGAAGGATGAATCCTTGACATACTTGGCGTAGGTCACACTCCCGCTGGATCGGAGCCCGGAGAATTCAGCCACTTCCGATCTCTGAAAATCACCGATGATCAAAGTCAAAATTGAATATATACACATACATATACAGTTATACATACGGTGGTATTAGAAACGTATCGATTCGATTAATGGAGAGAGGGAGAGAGGGAGAGAGATAGACCTTGGTGGAGCATTGGGAAGGGAAAGAGGTAGAGAGGGAGGGTTTGGAGGGAAGCCTGGTGATTGTGGGGATTCTTGTGGAAGCTAGAGCTGCATTGGAAGCCATGGCTGAATGCAACTGAAAACTCAGAGGTCTATCGCTTCCTTACCTTTTATATGGAGAATTTCTTCGAATTCGTATCGATTTGTTCTTAAGATTATGGGGAAGAAACGAGTGGCGGGAGAAAAAGATAAGATCATGTTTCCAATATCCACCTCCCAACAGTCTCAAGTCTCGACCACAATATTATCTTTTGCACGATATTTGTTTGGGCACAAATTGTTAAAATAGTTATGCAAGAAATCAAAACTATATCCAATAAAACAGACATAAAAAAATTTCGCACTTCAGTTTAGAGGTAACTTACGTCTACATGTATGATGAACCGGAGTACTTTTTTTATTACTTGATTGTTTTGAAAGTGTTTACATAGTCTCTAATAATAACAACATCCACAATGCATAGTTTAATGTGAGAGTTGAATGAGTTAGCATGCCTAATTGACATTTAATAGATTAAGCTCTACCATTGTAGGATGCCATGTTTGTATTCAATGGATATGAAGTTCAATGGTCATTGAACTCTTCAATAAGAAAAGTGAAACATTTTAACTATTAAATATATATTACATTGAACTCTATTGAGTTCAATACATCGTAGGAAAATTAATATAGAGTTGTATAGTAAGTAAATATGATGATGTGTCAATCCATTCAACTCTAATAAGTTTAATGCATTATGGATGCCCTAAGTCTATTCCATAGACTTGTCATCGACAAAATATAATGTCAACTTTCCTCCCTTAGTTTCAGGTTGTTCATTCGGGGTATTAAATTTCAAGTCACACATTAACAATAATAAGATAGTTTTTATATATACACAGGTAGTGTATATATTGTTTTGAACACCAAGACTGGTAAATGAACCAGTCATCTTGTCATTTTAATAGTTCAACTAGTTAGACTGTTTCAAAAATCAAATTTCAAATAACACATTAACAATAATAAGATATTTTTTATATATACACAGGTAGTGTATATATTGTTTTGAACAACAAGACTGGTGAACCACCATCTTGTCATTTTGATAGTTCAACTAGTCAGACTGTTTCAAAAACTGGATGTCATCATTATTACATTATAATTATAATGTATAAAAAAATAATACAAAAAAAAACCTTAAAATAATATGAAACGCTTGTTTCATACAAGTTCTCTTAATTATTATTTTTTAATTATTATTTTTCTATTTATTATATACATTACTTCGATACTTTTTAAAAATATATATATTTTAAAAAACCGGTTTCTGGCCTGTTGAACCATTTTTTTTTCCTGAATGGATCCATTCTTACCGGTTCACTTACAAATGGTTTTTAGATGTCAAAAAACTGGTAACGAGCCCGGTTTTCGGTTCAACCGACCAGACCGGCCCAAATTTCAAAACCATGCCTATAATTACATCTAAGGGTACAAGGTAAGATTCAAATTGTACATCAACTTTAAATAACCAAAAACCAATGTCAAAAATAGCCCATGATTGACTTAAATTACCAAATTTAAGCGATCTAACTAGAAAATGTAACCAATTGGAAAGTATTCTTGGAAAAAACCAAAACAAATGAGAAATTTGTGTAAAATGATATTTTGCAAGGTTAGAGAGGCAGATTTAATGTCCACATCCATGTGTACTAAAGTCGGTCCCACCAGCTCTTTTAGTTTAGGGCACCACCAATCCAAATTATGATGACATGAACAAAAAACTTGGACCATATAATTTAAAAAGCCATATTTTCAGTCACTTTTATTCTATGAAAATTTTTTAACCATATTCTAGCTCTATTAAACGATTTTACCACAAAAAAAACACCCAAAACATTACATGTATAATGTATTACGAGATGATCAAAGCAACATTTGCATCCACAAATTTATATATCCAGTTATATCTTTTATACCCAATAACATACGTCCACTATTATTTCTTAAAATAAGCATCAAACATCTGTGAAGAAGACAAAAACACAAAAATAGTATACTCAAGCAACAGATTGAGTCTTTTCAGGAACAACAGCACCATTTCCAATTGACTCCTCATCGTCTGATTTCAATTGCGAAGATACATCATCAATGGCATCATTCAGCTGTGCTATCTTCTCTGTTAGCTTTTTCCGTGTTTTCTGAACAAAAGAACCATATCAAATTCAGAATAGATTATATATGTTTACAACAATATCATACAAAAACTTTGAAAACAGATTGTATTAGTATGTATACCTCCAAAGCTTTTTCTTCATCATAAATGAATGTAGGGAGCTTCTTCAGCAACTCCTTTTTGTCAGTTCCAGCTACAGATAACGCCTTGCTTATCTGGTTTAAATCAAGATTATGCTTTTGATTAAGTACAAAGTTTAAACAAATCATAGGATTATGCTAAGTTTTTAATAATCTAACCTGAGGTGCATATACACAACCAAGTGTGCCAATAATTAATCCACCAAGAACAAAGCCACCAACAAAGGCATTCCCATTGTTGGATCTTCCATCATCACTGGAGATGAATAAAACAATAACTTAACAATTGAAGAAATGAAGAAATGGAAAGAAAAAAAAAAACCAAGGGCAAATTTGTACCTATATCTTGCTTGAATGGAGAGTGTTCTTTTAGATGTGTGTAATTGTACTTTACTCACATGGGTTTGTCCAAACAACAATTTGGTACTCTGATCAAGCGATTTCAAATCTACCATGAGATCAAAATTGTAGAAAATGATTATCTGGTTTGATTCTTGAAGTCGCTATAATCACTTTGAATAAGCACATCCAAACATATCTAATGATTTATTGGTATAAAAAAGCTCCTCAGATATCCTAAATTCCTAAATTTTAGGTAAAAACAGACATTTTTTTGCAAATTGGGAAGTGATACAAGAGCTATGAGCAATGCAGATGTTAGGGTTTTGAAATCTCTAGCAATGCATGAAAACGAGATAAATTAAGGAAATAGAAAAGGAGTAAAGGACTCCCCACAAAAATCAATCCGTAATCATAAACTTGTCACGATGAATCAATAAAAGGAAAAGTGAAACAACAACGATTCAACTGAAAGAGCAATAACAGTAATGCTAGCGAATGAGCAACGATACCTGAGGATAAATGATTTGGTTTGTTCCTGGGTAAAACAAGGGAGTTTGATAGTGCAGTCATGTTTTCAGATTTGCAATAGAGATCACCGGGTGTGGAGGAGAAGAGAGAGAGAATGGAGAGACAAAGAAATCGAGGAGAAGGTGGTGGCGATTATGCGAGTTATTAATTTTCCCTGTTCGATGATACCAATGCTTAGCGGCGTTGTTAACAACGATTGTCAAACCGACTCAAAATTGATTGCTGACGTAGAACAGTTTCTGTACAAACTAATTAGGGTGTTTAGTCGTCTGCAGTAAATCGTTCCAACTAAATTACATTTTTGTGCGTATACATCATTTTATACGTTTGATCATAGTTTACGAATTGAGAAAAAAAAAAGGAAAGAAAAAAAGAAAACTATATACATTGGGCCTCTATCTTCCGGTTTCTCGTATAAGACATTAATTTCTCATCCCGATATCGTATTCTCTCTTCCACCTTCGTTATGTTTTACAGTGTGGATGCTGACAATTTCGTTGACGATGTCAACTATTTCATTCGGTTATGAGGATGCATATGCCGCTTTCTTTCATTTTTGTTGTCTTTGAGGCGGTGATTCTTCAACATAAAATGTATACAGCTGTTGGCTGAATCCAGGTAAAATTATGAATCAGAAGATGTTGTTTAGGGATTGGATGAAAATGTTTTGGTTCATTCTGATGAAGGAGGTAGGGAGTCTTCACCGACTTTTTTACGTGCAACCATTTCACTTGATGTTTCAAAATATCACAAGTTGACATGGGATGTAATCACAAGTTTTTTTCATGGGGAAAAGTTTTCTGATTATTAAGCCTCTGATACTCGCTTTGTAAATCTTTAAAAACATCGACCTCGGATCTCCCGCTAGTTAGACTATTCATCTTACGATTGTAGATGCTATTAAAATCTTTAAATTTCTTTTAGAGATCTTTCCATTTTGAACTTACTTGGTGCCTTGTCTGATTCGAACCTCCCAATTGAACATTAAAATGTTCTTAAACCCGCACCCAAAATGCCTTGGACCTTTGTTAATTTATGTGTGCCTTATCTTCATAAACAACGGCATACGCCTTAGCCAAAGCCACTTATTCTTTTTCCAACCATTTCTTTGACTTTTAACATTTTGTGTACTCGTGTTAGTTATCGGAAATTGGTTCATACGTATCGCTTGCTTGTTGATAGAACCACTTTGTTTGGATTTGCTACAAAAATTTATAGAGTGAGTTGGAGAGGTGTGGAATAGAATTGTAGAGGTGTGGAATGAAATTTAAGATAAAATGGAATTGGAGATAGAATAGAATCGGTTGCGGTTTGTTTTAATAGTTGAGGTATAGTAATATAGGTAAAAGTCAATAAATAAATAAATATTTATTTATTTCTCTTTGATCAGAGAGAGAGAGAGAGAGACTCGTGGGTTCACTAACCCACCAAAGTGATAACCAAGGGTAACTCTCTAGGTCAAAATTTCATTTCCCCGATAGTACCGCCACTGTTTTCCCATCTTTTGATCGATACCTCCACCCTTACGAGTCGTTCAAAAAAAATAGAATATTACACATAAATTTTTTTGAACAACTGAATATTATAAACGAACCTAGCAAGAAGCTAAAATTACAAAGAAATAGCTAGAGATGAGTTTTTAAACCACTCAAACTAACTACCATTAGTCTTATTGTTTCTAAAAACAAACCAATTATACGAGTAATCAACTATATTATCAAAAATACAGTTTTTTTTATCGGAAGCAACTCCCCAGAAATAACTCAATTATGAAATCTCCAAATCAACCAATGAATAATAAAATCCAAAACTACCGTTATATTTGAAGAGAGAGACATACCGCTTCCAACCAAGAAAATAAGTCCAGTAAGACATGCACACCCGACATCACCAAATCCACCTATCTAAATACCCTTTTCCAAATAACAGAAGCCTCCTCACACAATAACAACAAATGATCACTTTTTTCCACATGTTTAAAACATAAAGGGAAAAGCAACGAAGAAATATCCAAACCTTTGAGGCTTAGACTGTTGGGTTTTAGTATACTACAACATCCTATGGTGCACATACAACCCTAAATACCTTGGATCTATGTTTTCTCTATTATACATGCAAATATGAAATTTCCAAGGTATTACCCTATCTAGCATACAATCTTTGATACTTGGGTAATAAAATAGATAGAATACATACCTTTTTGATGTAACTTGTCTTCATGAAGCTTGAGTGCCTAGTGCCCCAAGTGTGACACCTCAAATGGTTCACACAACACCATGAACACTTGGAATAACCTTGAGAATAAGGATACTTTGGTTCTCTCTAGTGAAATCGGCCTTGCCCTTTTGTGTACACACACTAGTGCCAATTTCACCAACCAAGGACATCTTTATATAGTGTGGAGATTAGGGTTAAACCCACGACCCTTCATTTCATATGATCCATGGGTTAAACACTCCAAGGACTATCCATGAAAGCTTAGCCCAACCTAAATGAACTTGGCCCATCACACATATATATCTAAGAGTCCATATTTAATTAGTTCCTTTTGATCACTTAATTAATTATAAATTAATTCTTGATCAATACTAATTAAATAATATGATTATATATTAATATATTAGAACTTATAATATATTAATATAAATCACTAGTATCCTTTTTTTTCCTCATCTTGTCTATCTAATTGTCCCGATGCCATGCAACCCAAATGGACCATGCCGGGTCAGGTCAAGTACATACCAAATATAGTTATGGACTTAGACATTAATCCAAGAGTTCCCACTTGGATAAGTCTAAAACTATTATTGAGTATGACTTCAAAACCCGACTAACAGTCGTAGCTCTCAAAAGCTTCTGTCGAACTCTGACGTGTTAACTGAACTCTGATCTTGTCAATGACTTGTCCATTAGATAAGGGATCATATATTCCTCCATTCTAGATATCATATGGATTGAGACATGGATTATAAATCATTCTCTCTGTCCATTTGTTGTTTCCCGATTTCCGATTTATGACGACTGACTGATTGAACAAATCAAATCAGTCCTGGCTTGGCCAAGCACTCACATGTGTCATCACTAAATCATCGAGGGGCCCACGCATATCGCTTTTATCCCTTTAAGGGTAAAAGGAATGGATAAACTTCGACTCGTATGGCTTGTTCTACTACTTCTTGAATCATACACAAAGGCACGTTTTATAACATCGAGTTACCAATGCGTTTTCGTGCAATCAATGTATAACCAACTCATAGTAACAACTCATATCTCTAGGTTTGAAGAATATAAGATATTATCGTCTCATGATCACTCGTGATAAAATCCATGAAGTGATTCAAATGAGCGTGGGTTGAATCCAATACTCATAGCTTATGAGAACTCATGAGTGTTGTAGCACCACTTTGTCCAACATCTTAGACCTCTACAAGCCAACCCATGACAGTCTTGATTCATATCTACTTCGAACATATGACCGACTGTGGATGGTTTGAATAACTTAGTCATTCGGGAAGAATAACCTAGTTTATTCTGGAAGTCAAAACATGCAAAATGAAACACAATAATAATTGAATCCAATATTGTATCAAAGCCTATGAATATAAATAAGACACTTTTATCACCATACTGATTACTCATTATTCATTGTTTCGGTTTTATCAACTTTATACTTGAATTAAAAAACACTAGTTGTCCCATGCTCCAAGCAAGTACACTATGTTTTTCAAAACAATAGCTTTGCCATACACCAAGTATGCACTCTATGTTTGTCTATGATCCTTACTTTGTGAACTAGATCGATTGACCATACTTTCAATGATTCTCTTTTCACACTTGCAAATCCTTATCGAAAAATGTGAGAATTTCAAATTCCTATCATTTATCGAAATCTGTTTAGATTTTAAACTTATATGCACTGACCCTCTTGTAATGAATATGTACAAAGTCACAAAGACTTGTCAACAGTCATTATAAGGTATTCCAATGGAGATCAACTCCATGGAAACTAAGTCTCATATTCAAAGTACATTGCTTTGAACATGCTTCTTGCATTAAGTTTTCTAATCTTACACAGATAACTTCCACCTATGGAGACAACTCCATATTCTCATTTTGACTATCACTTCTGAACAAGAGATGCCTCTTTTCAAAATATGTCAATATGGTCCTTCCAAAATTAGCACTATACTTCCAACTGTCCCTGAGCAACCAATCTTTGGTAAACCTTAGATTGTCCTCGACAATTGCTTAATCATTTTAGTCATATCCAATTCTAGACCTTTTCCCTTCTTAATAACTTTGGGCATTTAGAAAATTTAGAAAGGACAAAGATTATAGCACATGCAATCGATCATGTACCCAAAGCAAATGGGACACGATTCATGATGTCTCACATAAAGACATGATTCTAGACCAGTATTTTGCTACAATATTTTTGTTTACCATGTTTTCAAAATTTGACTATGAAGAGGGATGTCGTAATCATAATCGAATTTTGAGAACGCAATATATAGAATTTCCTTAAGTTGAACCAATCCAACATGAAATTCATATATATATATATATATATATATATATATATATATATATATATATATATATATATATATATATATATATTCTTGACTAAAGATGATTAATGTCTCAATCTAAGCCTTTAGAACTGAAATGAAGTATATTCTCTCCCTTAATTATAGCAAAACAAATTTTTCAACCCCTGCAACTTCACGAATTGAAACTTTTGTTTTCTATAATTAACATTGCAACGGTTTGACTCAGACGAGAGTTGTGCAACAGGGTCAGATCAACCACTCAGAGATTATTTAATCCAACTCCAAACAACTTAGTGCATATCCCAAACATAAGCGACTCGGCACACGAATCCCAAGCCAATAAACCCACCTCGACTCTTCTTACTACCACTTACTACTCTCTAAAGGCAGTCGAGACCTCCCTGATCTCACCTTATCTGTCAACTGCTTGAAACATCGGACACCTAACCGATTGCTGATCCAGGACACACGCACAACATTCCCTCACGACCTCCGAATGATACCTCTTCTGACAATAATTTCCCTATCTATACCGCCACTCATGGCTCCTTCAATCCTTTGATCCATCCGATCATGATGGCTGACAACCTGTCGCCACTGAATCCGACACAAAAGGTGAATGCTACTAGAATAATTGTAGTCTTACATCATACCCGGTCTCCTTCGACCTACCGTTTCCTAACTTCCGTTGTGTTGTGACCT